GAATAAATTTCCTATACCATGATAAACCACCCAGGAACTTATTCGCTTCTACTAACGTAGAAGGTTCCCTCAAATTCATAATTGATTGTATTCTTTCATTATTTGGTTGAAAATCTCCTTCGGATATAATATGAGATAAATAATCAATTTTTTGATGGAATAATTTACATTTTGGTGGATTGAGGTGACAATTATATTTGGATAAAATACATCATAATTGTTGAAGATGATTAAGATGTTCTTCAAATGAATGAGAGAATACCACAATATCATCGATATAAACTAATGAAAATTGTCGACAAGGAGATAGTATATCAGCCATTACTCTTTGAAATAATGGTGGACTATTCTTCAAACCTTGAGCTAATACATTCCATTCATATAATCCATCAGCTGTAATGAATGCCGTTTTATGTTTTTCTTCTTCTTTAATTGGTATTTGCCAAAATCCACTCTTCATATCTAATTTTGAGAAGAATTTGTAACCACCACCCAATCGTCGTATTGTTTGTTCCATATTAGGTAATGGATGATTATCTTTAATTGTCATATTATTTAATTTTTTGTAATCGACTACCATTCGCCATGATCCATCATGTTTAGCCACTAATAATGCTGGTGCTGCGAATGGAGAATAAGATTTACGAATTAAACCATAATATAATAATTCTTGAACGATCTTGTACATCTCTTCTTCTTTGTGAGGCGTTGAATAGTATGGTCTAGATGATGGTGGAGGATGATCAAGTGTTTTAATTTCATGCGGTTTCACATTAACAGCTATTGCAGGTTTACTTGTGTCGAAAAGTTTTTCATGTTGATGAAGGATTGTCTCAATTTCTTCTCTTTGTGTTGAATCTGTAATATGTCGGGCTAATTGGAATGACGAACAAAAATTACGATATATTTCCATACATTTACAGGATGATGCATATAGGTGGTGGATGCAAACATCCACATCAATTAAAACATGGTCAGCATTTATTACAGCTATTACACAAGCTTTTGGATCAACAAAGGTACAAGAATTAGCATTTGAACAATTAAAATGGTATAAACAAACAGTTAATCAATCCATTACACAATATTATGATAAAATTATTGAATTATGCAAAAAAGTCGATCCTGTAATGCCTGATTCTTTGAAATTAAAATATTTAATGGTTGGAGTGAAAGAATCATTGAAAATGCATGTAGCGTTACAAGATCCCAAAACAACTGAAGCATTTCTATTATCAGCAAAGAAGATTGAAGATGTATTATCAATTACCAAAACAAATAATGAATTATCTGACAATGATATTACCATCATCAATGCAACTGGTTATCAAAATCAAGTACGTGATCGAGCAACATTCACACGAACATCAAACAATAAATTTAATCAAAAAAATCCTTGGAATGCAAATGCATCACGAACTCGAACAAATTCTAGTCAGGGAATACCAGTTGGAAATAACGCAAATCGACAAAATAAATTCTCAAATTCTACAAGATCAACACAGAAACTAGGTGCTTGTTACAATTGTGGTACTCCTGGCCATTATGCCCGGGATTGTACCCGTCCCCATTTTCAATAGGGGAAGCATCGGTCGATGGTGTTGCTTCCGAAAATTTACATATCAATCCATCGACATTAAACACATCATTGTTATAACTTTATATTTACTAATAAAAATCCATTCCTAATATACATTCAGCACATAAATCTTTCACC